AACAACTACCTGGGACACACCTGAGGGGTCAGGACCCTGAGGGGGGAGGGGGTCTACCGGGGGGGGACCTGGCACGAGGAAGAGCGGCGGCGGGGGGAAGGGGAGCAGTGCGGTAGGGGAAGAGACGGTAGTAGGGAACTGACTCGTCAAACGTATCATCCTGAGAGGACAGAACACGGCGCGAGGTGGGGTGGTAAAACTGCCAAGTAGACGCGTCAGGGGGGAAGCCAAGGAAGACGCAGGGAACAACACGAGAGGATAGCTTGTCCGCAGACAAGTCGCGGACGAAAGCTCGAGATCCCCTGACACGGAACGCAGACGCATCGCTAACCTTTCCCGTCCACCTCAGAGCAGGGGAGGTCTCCGGCATGGAGACCCTAGGGCTGAAGGTTGATCTGATGCGCCGCGTACTGAACCGCAAACGGCCACAGAAAATGGGGGGCAGCTCCATGGATCATGGACGTACGAGCGACGTCCATGACCATGCCAATGCGGCGCTCAGCAATCCCATTTTGCTACGGAGAGGACGAAAGCGTGAACGTCTGGCGGATGCCCTCCGCACGTCAGTAGGCTCGCAGAAGGTCGGAGGAAAACTCTCCTCCTCTCTTGGAGTGCAAACGCAGAACAGGAAAGTCCGAGTTGAACCTCTCTCTGAGCTGGAGACGGGCAGTGCGGATTTAGTCGATCAACACCGCAGTGACCTCACCCTTGCAGCGCAAGGGGAAGATTGTGGTGTAACGCGAGTAGTCGTCAACCACCAGCAGAAACTAACGCTCGTGACCCTGTCCACGGACGCGAGCTGGGCCCCACACGTCCATGTGGAGAGTGTGCAGTGGAGCCTCTGTCGGAGTAAACTCGGAGGAGTGAGGGGCGGCGCGCTGCCGCCCCTCAACGCAGGGAACGCAGGTAGGGGCAGGCCCCGGGGGAAGGGGAGGGAGGGACCAGAGACAAGGACACGGGAGGCCATAGCCTCGAAGACGAGGCAGGGAGGGGTGACCAAGGCGGTGGTGCCAGAGGAGATTCTGCTAAGACAGGAGACGACACGAGCAAGGGGCAGACTCAGGACCAGACCTGGACGCTGCAGCAAAAACCTGACCCGACGCAGCTACTTGACCAGACACAGTAACCGGAGGAGACTCAGTAGTCAGTGTGTAGAGGCTCGACCTCGGCTGACGGGTAAACATGGCCAAGTGTCGGCCCGTCCGAGCACACGTGCAGTGGGTCACTCGCTGACTCGCAGGAGTGAGCTGGTCAACCCCCCCATCCTGCAGATCAGCACCACTCACCAAGTTCGTAGAGAACAAGGGGAGGTAAAGACCTGACAGGAAGCCAGACAAGGCCGCCGGACATGGTAGGACAGTGGAGTAGTTGGCAAGGACGGGACCCCCAGAGGGGTCTGCCAGGGAGACTGCAACCGGCCAACTAAGAGGCGTGAGTGTGGTGCGGTCTCGAAAGAAGGAGCGGGAAGCACCCAAGTCAAGGGTGAAGGTGTGCAAGACCGCAGCAGAAGCAGCACTAGAGAGAGCAGACTCACCAGCACTTGGAGCAGTAGACTCACCAGCGCCTAGAGCAGCAGCCTCACCAACACCTGGAGCAGGAGACGCACGAGCACCTAGAGCAGCACCCTCACTGGCACCTGGAGCAGGAGACGCACCAGCACCTAGAGTAGCAGACTCACCAACACCTAGAGCAGCAGACTGGATACAGGGTTCAGGCGGCACACACAGGTGACAGGCACCCTCAGCACTAGTACTTAATGCATACATGGCAGAGAGGATAGCGTCATAGTCAAGAGCAAAGATATCTACCCTCTGCCTAAGCAGCTCCACCCAGTCGGGAAGCTCAGCGTCGTCGCCAAACTCTGTACGCCAAGCGTCGCTCAGACGGGCGAAGCAGCGGGACTCTGTGCAACTAACCGTTCCGCAAGGCTGACCAGTCCGGACACCCGTGCGAATGACGTACGGGCAGCTAGTAGTACTCAGCGACCCTCTACTCTGAGCGTACCACTCACGAAGCTGCTGGGGCGAAAGAGCCTCGCTCGAATGACGCTGGAGCTGCACCTGGCCACTACTAGAAGCTCTCGAACTACCCACTCCAGGGCGACTCCCACTACAGCCACCCCGACAACCCCAACTAGCGCACCACTCATGAAGCTACTCACGCGGACGGCCCTAGAGCTGCATCTGGCCACGCCAGGAGCAGCAGTAGCAGCACTAGCAGCAATAACAACTGTAGTAGCGTGGGGAGGGCAGTGCTGACCAGTGGAGGGAAGGGCAGGCGCACGACGGCGGGGTCGCTACAGCGGCAGGGCGAGGCCGCGACCGCGCCATGGAGCTCCGCGGCAGTTGGTGCAGAGCGGGGCCGGGCCGCGACGGCAGCTGGAGCAGGGTGGGGCAGTTCGCGACGGCAGCTGCTACAGGGCAGGGTAGTCCGCGACTGCCGCTGCTGTAGGGCGGGGTAGGGCCTCGACGGTAGCTGCTGCAGGGCGGTGCAGGGGCGGCCGTCCAAAGGGCGGGCGCGGGGTAGGGTAGGGCGCCGCGGCGGGCAGGGGTGACGCCGCGCGGGTCCCGCAGGGGCGTCGCGACGAGTGGGGGCAACGCCCGGGTCCCGTTGGGGCGGGGCGACGCGCAGGAGCCGTGCCTCGCGGGTCCCGCAAGGGCGTCGCGACGCACAGGAGCCGCGCCTCGCGGGTCCCGCAGGGGCGTCGCGACGAGGCGGGGGCGATGCGCGGGTCCCGCAGGGACGTCGCGACTGAGGCAGGGGGCGACGCGCGGGTCCCGCAGCGGCGTCGCAACGAGGAAGGGGCGACGCGTCGCGTAGAGGCAGAGGCAGGGCGACGCGTCGCGGGGTCCAAGGGCCGCGCCGCGAGGTCTTGGGGCGGCTGCGCGGGTGCAGGGCAGGGACAGCTGCTCTAGGGGCCAGGGGCGGGTGCTGCAGGGGCGGCTGGTCCAGGGGCCAGGGGCGGCTGTTGCACGAGCGGCTGCTCCAGGGGCCATGGGCGGCTGTTGCAGTGGCGGCTGCTCCAGGGGCCAGGGGCGCGGGTAGGCAGGCGCTCAAGGGCGCGGGTAGGTAGGCGCTCGAGGTCGCGGGATGGCAGGCGCTCGAGGGCGCAGGTATGCAGGCGCTCGAGGGCGCGGGGAGTCAGGCGCAAGGCCCGTGACAGGGCAGGCAGGCACGACAGTGCGATTAGGGCAGGGCAGAAAAAAAAGTTTGTGGTGGGCCCTAAAAAAAACCGGTCCCACTAGGGAACTTGCTCTGAAACCATGTAAGAATTACTGAACTAGCAAGGAGATGGGTACAAGTAGGAAAACCTAGCAGTGTTGTACCCCATATGGTCTACCCCACTACAGCCTACACAGACTATGTCATATATGTTTGACAGCACACCCCATAAATAGCACTCCACTGGTCTTCCAAAAAAACAAGCACTCAATCTTGTTCGCCACTTCATTGAGTTGGAGCCATTTCCAAAGTTCATCCCTCCTCTCTCGAACTCTCGGTTGACCTCCGTAATTTTAGCCTACGATGGGGATCCAGCGCTACGTCGGCTTGGCAATCTGCCTCTTGGTCGTCACCACAAGCGTCGGTAAGTGAACCTTGCAACTTCAATTAATAACCGCTTGATCTTTCATCCGTTCAATTCCAGAATCAAGAATTTTTGATGAGATTTACAATTCTAATTCTCTACGTGGTTCCTTCCGTGCTGTGCATCGACCACTACGGCGCAAGCTCCTAAGGACAGCCCGTGCACGTTGCCCAACCCGACCACGCTGAAGCTCTCTGGATCATGTGAGACTGCTCACTCTGGTAGAAGTACTGCTGATCTGACTCTCTCAAAATTCCGTAACTGGTAAGTGGTGGGAGAATTGAGGAATGAAATGACTAAGGGGAAATGTGGGAACAAGTAGGAAACCTAGAAATGTTGTACCCTATAGTGTCTACCCCACTACAACCTAGATAGACCATAGCATATAAGTTTGACACACCCCCATAGGCAAAGGGGGGGAGAACAAGAGGTCACTAGACCAGTCAATCAAAGCAAAGCAAGCTCAGGGTGGATCACGTCGTCACCACATAATCCGAGCACAAGAGCAAGGCCAAAAGGCCAGTTCACATGCAAGATCATATATAAAGGTAAACAAGAGAGTGCAGGTATAGCAAGATCACTGTACAAGCAAGGTCAACAAGTGAGCAAGTGAGGCCAAGTAGGCACAAGACCTAGCATCGTACAGCAGCGCTGATGATCACAAGGCGGAAGTGCCTTGGTAAAGATATCACCAGTGTTGGCCTCAGAGGCCACGTAAGCAAGGTGCAGCTGACCACGCTGCTGCAGCTCACGAGCAAGGAAGTAGCGAACAGCAATGTGCTTCGTTCTGTGCTCCAGTGTGTGCTCCCGACACAAGGCCAGCATGGCCTTGTTGTCTACGTACAGAATTAAAGAAGAACGAGGCGACTCTCCTAGGTCAGTCACCAGGTAGGTGAGCCAGCGTAGCTCTTGTGCAGCCATGGCCCCCGCGTAGATCTCAGCCTCACAGTTGGAGCTGAGAACAGAAGATGAGCGAGTAGACCGCCACAAAACAGAGCCGGAGCCAAGGCCGAAGGTGTAACCCTATGACGACCGCTGCAGAGCTTGGTCGTCAGCCCAAGAAGCGTCTGCATGACCTGTGAGGACCACTCGATGTCGCCCTCCAAGCACTAGCCCCATGCCCGACGTACTGCACAAGTAGCGCAACACCCTCTTTCCAACAGCCGTGGGCTCTGGCCTATGTCTGCCAAGAGCAACATAGCGTGCCAAGATGCTAAGAGGGTATGCAAGGTCAGGTCGTGTGCAAGTCATCAGGTACACGAGGCAGCAAACAAGCTCTGGGTACGGGCCACTCGGCTCTACGGACTCATCCGAAGGCAGAGCTGAGAGCGAGTGGCGAGTAGACAGAGGAGTGGCCTCAGGCAAGGAAGTACGTGAAGCCGAAGCGCTGAAGGACCTGCTGCACCATGTGTGACTAAGTCAGGGTAATGGTGCGCTGTGCTCTCTCCCGGGTGATCTGCAAGCCAAGGTAGCTGCGCAGTTCACCCACGTCTGTGCACGTGTGTCTCTTCTGCAGCTCGGACTTCACGTGGGCGAGTCTAGTAGTGTCAGAAGTGGCAAAGACCAAGTCGTCGACGTACACGAGGATGTAGAACGGCGAGAAAGAGGTGTCGGTGCGCAGAAACAGTGACGGGTCGGCTGTAGAAGGAGCAAACCCAAGAGCCGCAAGTGTATTCCTCAGTGTGTCGTGCCACTCACGGGGCGCTTGGCGGAGACTGTAGACTGGCCGCCGGAGGCTCCACAGGGTACCAGGAGGAAACGACCCAGTGAAGCCAGGTGGGCGGCACAGCCAGATCTCCTCGTGCAGGCTGCCCTGCAGGAAAGCAGTGCTGAAGTCAAGAGAGTGACGCTCGTAGTCGCGCTGAGCGGCTATGTGCAGCCTCACCCGAAGAGTGGTCATCCTCCGGGTGGGAGAGAAGGTCTGAAAGTAGTCAACTCCCTGCCGCTGACTGAAGCCTCGAGCCACGTAACACGCCTTGAAGACAGGTGGAGAACCCGGCGGCCGCTTCACCCTGAAAATCCACATGCCACTGACGATGTTCGCCCCAGGTGGGGGAACCTCCTCGACGTAGGTGTCTGTGGACTTCCGGGAAGCCATCTCTGCATCCATGGCCGACTGCCAGTGAGAGGAGTAGGGACCGTCGATCGCCTCAGTGTACGATCGAGGAGTCGGGATGTCTGGTGCATCCGGGTCTCCCTCAGGGGCAATCAGCGTGGACACGAGATGGGGCAAAGCAGCAGCAAAGCACTGGAACTCCTCCTGCCTGTCCTCAAGGACGTGCGTGCTAAGAGCACACTCACCCCCAATCGGACAGAGGACAGATAGACTCAGACTCAGCAACAAGACCAGCAGCGTAGTCTAGACGACAGCGAGCCGCGAAGTCGACAAGCTAAGCAACTAGGGCAGACGCAGCAGTGGACTCAAAGGAAAGGTCAGTGACAACAGTGGCCAGGAGACGCATGACAGTAGGACTGGCAGTACGAAGGGTGTCACACTCAAGGTCAGCAAGAAGAGGAAGAGAGGACTCAGGAGGAGACGGCAACGGGTCACGCACAGGAGCAGTGGAAGGACGCAGCGCCATCTGGTGTGTGCCTGGGACTGAGGAGGACGCGGACATGGAACACTGACGACTAGTGCGAGCAGCACGAACAGGCGACAGAGGACGAAACGCAGGCTCACGACGCTCAGCAAGACCTCCAGTAGGACCAGTGTAGGGAGAAGGAGCAGGTTGGGGGGAGGCGGGCTGTAACTGTGACTGCGTCTGGACAGGCTGTGGACACTCTAAGGGAGGAGGAGGACCAGTAGAGGGCGAGAGACCAAGAACCTGCTCAAGGAGCGGAACGAAGTACAGTTGCGGCCGCGCAGCGCCTCCAGAACTAGCAGGGACAGCACCAATACCCCCAGCGACAGCACCAGTGCCAGCAGCACCTCCAGCTCCAACAGCACCAACCCCAGCACCCCCAGACGCACCAGCGCCAGCAGCAACACCAGCGCCCATATCCCCAGTAGCTCCAGCTTTAGCAGCTCTAGTAGCACCAACTCCAGCACGACCGGCTGCTCCAGTAACGCCAGCAGCTTCAGCAGGACCAACTCCAGCAGCCCCAGCAGCACCCCCAGTCCCAACAGCTCTAGTACCGCCAGTACAAGCACCTTCGGGACCAGCAGCAACAGTAGTACCTCCAGCTCCAGCAGCACGGCTCCAGCGGCGGGCAAACCACTCGCACAGCTCCTGTGGAGAGAGTGGCTCCCGCCTCGACGAAGCACCGCTGGCGGCCACACGAGAAGACCCAGCGCCCCCAGGCTCCGCGCCCCCAGGCTCAGCACCTCCAGACCCAGCACCCCTAGGCTCAGCACCCCCAGATTCAGCACCCTTAGTCTCAGCACCCTTAGTCTCAGCACCCTCAGACTCAGCACCTCCAGACCCGGCACCTGCAAGCTCAGCACCTCTAGTAGCACCAGAGTCAACAGCTACCTCGACAGGCTCGTCTGCGTCTACCTGGGACACGATTGACGGGGCAGGACCCTGAGGGGGGAGGGGGTCTACCTGGGGAGGACGTGGCGCAAGGAAGAGCAGCGGCGGGGGGAGGGGCGCAGCGCGATAGGGGAAGAGGCGGTAGTAAGGCACCGACTCGTCAAAGGTGACGTCCTGGGAGGACAGAACACGGCGCGAGGTGGGGTGGTAAAACTGCCACCCAGGCGCGTGAGGGGGGAAGCCAAGGAAGACGCAGGGAACAGCATGGGGGGACAGCTTGTCCGCAGACAAGTCGCAGACAAACGCCCGAGATCCCCAGACCCGAAACGCAGACGCATCGCCAACCTTCCCCGTCCACTGCAAGGTGGGGGAGGTCTGTGGCAAGGAGACCCGAGGCTGAAGGTTGAGCTGATGCGCAGCGTACTGAACCGCAAACGGCCACAGAAAATGGGGGGCAGCCGCATGCATCATGGACGTACGAGCGACGTCCATGACCATGCCAATGCGGCGCTCAGCAATCCCATTTTGCTGTTGAGAGGCCGGAAGCGTGAAGGTCTGGCGGATGCCCTGTGCACGACATAAGGCTCCCAGACGGGCAGAGGAAAACTCCCCGCCTCTATCCGGGTGCAGACACAGAACAGGAAAGTCCGAGCCAAAACTCTCCCTGAGCTTGAGGCGAGCTGCGCGGATCCAGTCGATCAACACCTCAGTGACGTCACCCTTGTTGCGCAAGGGGAAGACTGTGGTGTAACGCGAGTAAGTCGTCAACCACCAACAGAAAGTAGCGCTCGTGCCCCTGCCCACGGACGCGGGCGGGGCCCCACATGTCCATGTGGAGGGTCTGTAGCGGAGCCTCTGTCGGAGGAAACTCGGAGGAGTGAGGGGCGGCGCGCTGTCGCCCTTGAAGCAAGGGACGCAGGTAGGGCCAGGCCCCGGAGGTAGGGGAGGGAGAGACCGAGGGACACCAGAGACAAGGACACGAGAGGCCATGCCTCAGAGATGAGGCAAGGAGGGGTGACCAAGGCGGTGCTGCCAAAGGAGAGTCTGGTGGGACAGGAGACGACACGAGCAGGGAGCAGACTCAGTATAAGACTTGGACGCCGCAGCAAACACCTGACTCGACGCAGCTACCTGGCCAGACTCAGCAGCCGGAGGAGACTCAGTAGTAAGGGTGTATAGGCTTGACCCTGGCCGACGGGTGAACGTCGCCAAGTGTCGGCCTGTCCGAGCACACGTGCAGTGGGTCACTTACTGACTCGCAGGAGTGAACTAGTCAACCCCCCTATCCTTTAGGTCCGCTCCACTCACCAAGTTCGTAGAGAACGAGGGGAGGTAGAGACCTGGCAGGGTGCCAGAGGGGGCTGCCAGGCACGGTAAGACAGTGGAGAAGCTAGCAAGGACAGGACCCCCAGAGGGGTCTGCCAGGGAGACTGCAACCGGTTGACTGAGCGGCGTAAGAGTGGTGCGGTCTCGAAAGAAGGAGCGGGACGCACCCGAGTCAAGGGTGAAGATGTGGAAGGCCTGAGCCGACGTAGTACCTGAGAGAGCAGACTCACCAGCACCTGGGGCAGCAGACGCACTGGCACCTGGGGCAGCAGACGCACTGGCACTTGGGGCAGCTAACACACTAGCACCTAGAGCAGCAGCCTCACCAGCACCTAGAGCAGTGGCCTCAATGCCCGGGTCAGGCGGTACACACAAGTAACAGTCACCCTCAACACTAGTAGTCACAGCATACATGGCAGCAAGGATAGCATCATAGTCAAGATCAAAGATGGCAACCCCCGCCCTAGACAGATCTCCCTAGCGTGGGATCTCTGACGCCTCAGAGAACTGGTGACGCCACGCGTCCGTCAGGCGACCGAAGCAGCGCACGGTGGAGTTTGGGCCCCCGCACTGCTCACCAGCTTGGTCGCCGGTACGGAGGACGTAAGTGCAGGGACCAGTACCCCCACTGAGCTGACGCGCAGCGTACCACTCACGAAGCTGCTGAGGGGACAGGGTCACACCACGTTGCTGCTGCTGGCGCGGACCACCACCTGACCCACTCCTCTGCGCAGAGTCGCGACCCGCTCCACCACCGCCGCCGCCGCCGCCTCCGCCGCCTCCTCCACCTCCGCTTCCTCCGCCACCACCGCCGCCTCCTCCGCCTCCACTGCTGCCGCCGCCGCCGTCACCCCCGCCACCACTCCCACCACCACCCCCACTCCCTCCACTACCTCCACCACCACCTCCACCGCCCTTGCTAGCCCCTCGAGTTCCCTTGCCCCCCTTGCCCTTGCCGGTGCGGCTTCTCCCGCTAGGGGCAGACGCAGCGCCGACCCCGTAGAAACCAACGAGGTCGGCAGCAGCAGCAGAAGCAACAGAGGGCAAGAGGGGGGAGGGGAAACACCCCTCAAAGACGGGGGTGCGAGGGTCACCACGAGAGGCTCCTACAGCGACTATACTCTTCTCAGCAGCTAGGAGGCCCTTCTCGAGGAGGTCAACGGTGAGAGTGGTGGGGCAAACTGAGAGGAAGTGGTCCCTGACTACGCGGAGAGAGTCAGGGAGCCGGGTGACTATGTAGTAGAGGGTGATGTACATGGGGGGGGGGGGGGGGGGGATGGGGTTCTTGGCGCAGAACTTAGCAGGAAGCGCAGCGCGGTAGCGAGTGTCACTAGTGCGGAGGTGCATAATGAGGTTAGCGACTGTGGGAAAGGCAGCAAGGTCAGGGAAGAGTGTCACCGAATATGCATGATTATGCATATAAGGTGCCAGAGTATGCGGTGTAGTTATGGTGTAGCAATGTTGAGTGTGCACATTGTAGGGCAGGTAGTTGGGGACCAGGGAAACTGACGCGAGGTGGGTAGGAGAGCACCGAGGGGTGGAATCCAAGGAACCAATGTGAACAAACCAACCCAGGCTCAAGCCGCACATTGAGAAATGCACGGTTCGAGCCTTGGCCAGGTAAATTTACTCTCTCACACACACCCGATGCTTTTCTCTTGTTATTCTCTCATATTAGTTGAAAGTTGTTACCTCAGATCTAGCATCCGGTGGCACACCACTATGGGAGGACCTACGGGGTGAGGGAGGAAACTCTTTCATAACAAGAGAAAAGCCAGTGCGTGTGTGAGTTATGGACGAGTACGAGCTGCGTTGGGCTCGTCGTGAGGAGGAACGGCCGTGTCAGGGCCGGAAGCATGAACGTGGGCGCTCACTGGAGCGGTCGCCGTGGAGGCCAGCATTCCGCGCGGATCAGATTCTGTTCACGCGTGGACGACGCGGAGGCGGATCAGTTCGCGAAGGCGGAGACGGATCGGGATCTGCCATGACGGGCGGCGATTCGTGGCGGCTTGATGGACGACGAGAAGAGGGAGCTGGCGGACGACGTCGCCGAGATACGGGAGCGCCAAGCTCGCCGGGAGAAGGGGAGCGCCATCGCAGTGGAGGAGACCGCGGGAGCACCCTGGAGGACCACGCGGTGTTTGGACGGGGGTATTGCAGCGAAGGAGATAAGGAAGAAGGCGAGGCGCGAGGAACCGAAGGCGAGGCGCGAGGAAGACGGAACCGAAGTCGACGAGTACGGCGACGAGTTGGTGCTTTCCTGCGTCGCGTCGCCGTAACTCATACGTCATGTCGCCTTCCTGCGCTGACGAGTTAGTGAAGGCGAGGCGCGAGGAAGACGGAACCGAAGTCGACGAGTACGGCGAGGAGCGAAAGCACCAACGTATGGAGGCGGGGACGCGACGCGATCTCCCGGCAGCACCAGGCGCATCGGATCAGGCGCCGGCGCGCGACGAGGCGGAGCAAGGTGGGGCGAATGAAGGAGATCGTTCGCCAGATCAGCGAGCAGAGCTTGGCGACGACAGCCACGGAAAGGATTCGGCGCCTGAGCCACAAGAAAAGCAAGGCGACATGACGTATGAGCGTGCGGAAGAAGATCATCCTCTAGATACGCGTCGGCAGGACGAAGGAAGGCGAAAAGAGGGGCTGCATGCATCAGATCTGCATCACATGTGCGGAGGAAAGCGAGGCGACAGGTCGTGCTCGCCAGATCTGCATTGGCAGGGAGGGGGAAGGCAAAGTGATGAATTACGCTCGCCAGACCCGCATCGGCCACGTAGAGGAAGGCGTGACGCGTGGTCACCTTCGCCAGGGGTAGAGCGGCAGCATGGAAGCAGCCAGGACGCGCGAGCGAAGGCGAATCATTCTTCAGAGCAGCAGCGGGGGCGAGCGGAGATGCGATATGAAGTGCCCAGGGACGAGTTCTCACCTGATCCGCGTCGGCAGCGCGGAGGAGGGCGGAACGGAGGGTCGCGCTCGCCTGATCCGCATCGGCAGCGCGGAGGAGGGCGGAACGGAGGGTCGCGCTTGCCTGATCCGCGTCGGCAGCGTGGAGGAGGGCGGAACGGAGGGTCGCGCTCGCCTGATCCGCGTCGGCAGCGTGGAGGAGGGCGGAACGGAGGGTCGCGCTCGCCTGATCCGCGTCGGCAGCGCGGAGGAGGGCGGAACGGAGGGTCGCGCTTGCCTGATCCGCGTCGGCAGCGCGGAGGAGGGCGGAACGGAGGGTCGCGCTTGCCTGATCCGCGTCGGCAGCGCGGAGGAGGGCGGAACGGAGGGTCGCGCTCGCCTGATCCGCGTCGGCAGCGCGGAGGAGGGCGGAACGGAGGGTCGCGCTCGCCTGATCCGCGTCGGCAGCGCAGAGGAGGGCGGAACGGAGGGTCGCGCTTGCCTGATCCACGTCGGCAGCGCGGAGGAGGGCGGAATGGAGGGTCGCGCTCGCCTGATCCGCGTCGGCAGCGCGGAGGAGGGCGGAACGGAGGGCCGCGCTCGCCTGATCCGCGTCAGCAGCGCGGAGTAGGGCGGAACGGAGGGTCGTGCTCGCCTGATCCGCGTCGGCAGCGCGGAGGAGGGTGGAACAAAGGGCCGCGCTCGCCTGCTCCGCGTCGGCACCATGATGGGAGGCAGGGAGGCGGGGCGCGCTCGCCTGATGAGCATTGGCAACGAGATAGAAGACAGACTGGCGAGTCTGGCTCGCCTGATTCGCAGGGGCACAACGAGGGAAGGGCAAGGGGCGAGGCACATTCGCTAGATCTGCAGCGTAAGCAGGGAGGGAGATGGGAGGAGGAGTGGCATCTGCAAGAAAGTCGCCGCGGGCATGGAGGAAGAAGGGACGAGAGATCCCCACCGCCCGAGAGGCACTAGCAGCGCGGAACGCTAAGGGAAGGACGGGCGAGGGCGCATTGCTCGCCAGAGCGGCAGTGGGGGCGAGCAGGAGCACGGATGAGTGCGGAGGACCTGCGAAGCGAGGCGGGACAGGACCAGCGCAGAAGCAAAAGGGGAGGCGGCGGTCTGGCGTACAGCACGGAGTGCGCCACAGAGGCAAGGGAAGGAATCGAGAGGGCAAGGGAGAGGGAGTCATCAAGAAGGCAGACGAGAGGACTGATTGAACCATGGGGAGACGGTTGGGGGAGCATAACGATGGCCACGCGAGTGGAAGTGCCGGCGCGATTCTCTGGAGATCAGCACACGGGGCCTACACTTAAGAACTACCTAATGCAAGTGGGGAGTGTGAGGTACAGATGCGAGAGGAGCAGGCATGGACTCGGTGGACTTCTTCCTGAGTCTGCCAAATACATTGGAAGGGGAGGCAGAAACGTTGTACAGGATGAAGATGGACGAGCTACTGGAGAAGGCAGGGAGGGATGGGGAAGACCCCACGGAGGCGTTCCTGAGGCGGCTACAGCGGCAGTTTCCTGGAAATACAGCAGAGCGGATAAGAGAGTTTCAGGATTTCAGGAGGGGGCGGAGCGAGTCGTTGCTCACCTACTACAACAGGCTGATCAATGTGGCGGAGGATGTGACATGCTCAGACATGGGCGTACTCGTTAGCAAATTCCTCGATGGGCTGGACAATACCATGGGGATTGGGCTGCAAATGAAGGTTTACACACTGGGGGCAGACGCGACACTAGATGAGGTGTTTGAGTTAGCGGAGAAGATGGAGCTTGCGCAGAGGAAGTATGAAGCATACCGGCCCCAAACGACAGAGAAGAGCCGAGAACCGACATGGGCAGCAGTAAGGATGGCTGAGGATAGGGGAAGGTCAGAGGGACGAGGGGATGGTAGGGCAGAGAACAGGACCTGCTACAGATGCGGACAGTCAGGGCACGTTAGGAGAGATTGTAAGAACTGTGATCGCTGTGGGAAGCCGGGACACTTGAGGAGAGAGTGCCCAGATCCATCAGGGTGTGAAATCTACAGCAAGAAGGGACGTAAGGCGAAGGACTGCTACCAACGGGAGGGGACAGCAAAGGGGAACCCGGAAGAGCTCAAACGGCTACAAGCACAGCTGCAGGCAGGAAGCGGAGGAAGGAACGAGCGCCAGAGATGGGGATGACAGGGAAGTAGGGCAGGATGTGCAACGCGCGTATATGGTCCTGGAGGGGAAGGGAAGAGATGGGACTACGCAGTGGAGGGGAGGACAGCCAGCAGGAGCACCGACAAAAGGGAGGAGAGAAGGGGCAGCAGGCAGAGGAGCCAACTCCAAAGGACGTTGTGGCTTGCCACCCGCCGGACGGGCTAGTAAGCCAGATTTCAGCACTGGTGGTGAGAGATGGGGCGACGGCAATGGAGGGGGAGAAGGACAAGACGGTGATCACAGACACTGGAGCACGGAGTAGGAATCTGGGGAAGGTCATGGCAGAAGAACTGGGACTGATAGCACCAGAGAAGCAGCTAGCAAAGGGGATGGTTGTGACGACGGCAGAAACGGGGGAACTTGAGTGGATGGCAAGCACCCATGCTCCGACTGAACTAACACTATTGCCAGGGAAGAAACAGGGGGCACAGAAGGGTATGCCAGCAGTAGCAGAAGCGGAAAGCAAGGCAGAGAGGGTGGGGGCACAGACGTGCACACCAGAAGTAGTAGAACCGGAAGGGAGAGAAGAGAAGTTGAGAACACAGGCGTGTGTACCAGCAGCGGCGGAAGCGGACAGGGAGAACGAGAAGGTGGGGACATGGGCATGTGCTCCAGTGAGAACGGAAGGGAAAGAAGGGAAGGTGTGGGCACAGGCATGCACATCAGCAGTAGCGAAAGCGGAAAGGAAAGATGAGGGGATGGAGGCACGAGCGTGTATATCAGCAGCAACGGGAGCAGAGGAACGAGACGAGCAGGTGGGGGCAGAAGCTTGTGTATCAGCAGCGATGGCAGAAACGGGAGAACTTGATTGGATGGAAAGCACTCATGCTCCGACTAAACTGACACCATTGACAGGGAAGAAACAGGGGGCAAGGAAACAGGATGCACAAGGAGGGGTGGAAAGACAGGAGGAGGGAAAGATGAAGACCGTGGGGAAGCAGGGCCAGCAGAGTAACTGGCAGCAGCCCATCCGTCAGGTCAAACTGTTAGGTGGGATAGGAGCAGGGTCGGCGGCAGTGATAAAGCATGGAAACGCAGTAAAGCAGTGGATTTACCAGGACAAGGAGCCCGTCGTAAGGAAGATGGCAGAGCACCATGCCGGGTGGAGGCTGCGCGAGAACTCCCTAGAATTGTTGAGCAGGGAAGTGGTGCAAGAGGTGATGGGGAGAAGGGATCCTGTTGTGAAGATTGTGACAAAGGCGGAAGCGGCGAGCTGGGGGCAAGTGGAGTTGTTGGTAGAAAATTGGGAATGCCAGGGTGTTTCTCGAGCAGGGATGGGGCTAGGAGAAAGGGACATTGGCACGAAACTAATAGAGAACCGGTTTCACATCATGAAACGGCTGCAGGAGAGGCAGGGCAGCAAAGTGTTCCGAGTAGAATTTTTGGATTTCAAAGGGGACAGCCGAGAGCCCACACGACAGGTGAGGAAGAGGATCACACAGCAGATGGGACTGGGGGCGAGAGATGGTACAGCAAAGGTGTGGGCACGAGCTCAGGTGGGGGCACGAGCTCGTCAGCTCGGGACGTGCCGGCAGAACTTGGTGCCCGCCCAATATCTGCAGGAGGAAATAGCCGTTGTGGGACGGGCTTGGGGGAGGAAGGTGCAAGGCATTTTAGAGCCAGTAAGGACAACGGCACGAGTGACTAGGAGGTGCTACAGCAAGCTTTACCCATGTGATCGGGGGGGACAGGAGGTACAGGCACTGTCAGCGCTGGGGGCAGACGAAAAGGGCGAAGAAGGGAAGGCGGGACCTGCTATGGTGTATGATCACAAGGAGGGCAGAAGGGAAGAGCCCACGGCTCTGGAGCGAGAGTTAGCCATGAGGAATGGAGAGAATATCACGGCAGCCCCAGGTGCGACTAAGCTGAAAGGAAGGAGGGCGTTGGGGAATACAATGAATGAGCAGATGATGAGGTCGGAGTCACTACAGGAACGGGTACAGGGTGGAGGGAAAGCAGAGGCAGCAGCTGTCCCGCGAGGAGCCTGGTCCTGCATGGAAGGGGAGTATCCAGAGTGGAAGGGGGGTGAGACAGTGAGCAAAGAAGGGAAGAAGGTGATGTTGGCAATATTAGCAAAACACAAGAGGCGATTGGCCTTACAAGCGGTGGGGAAGGGCAGGGTAAAGCAGAGGCAACGCAAGGGAGAGGGGAGAGTGCCGAAGGGAGTCTGTGAAGGATAGGAGGTATCCCTGAAGAGCGCGAAGCAGGACACACTGAATGTGGGGTTGGGGATTGTGCGATGGAAGGTCAAGGGGGTGCGCCCCTCAGGGGTGCTGGTACTGGACAATGAGAAGGGGGCACAGTTGAAGGAGCATCAGCCAAACACAGCTGTCATCAGAGGGACAGGGCCTCAGCGTGCTGGTCCTGTGACCCGTGCTCAAGCTGCTCGAGCACGGGCACAGGAGGGGGCAGAGAGTGGCTGAGGCAGGACAGGAACAGAGAAGAGCAAGAACGACAGAAGGAAGGGCAGATGGCTGGCAATAGCAGTTTTCCGACAGCTGTCACCGAATATGCATGATTATGCATATAAGGTGCCAGAGTATGCGGTCTAGTTATGGTATAGCAATGTTGAGTGTGCACATTGTAGGGCAGGTAGTTGGGGACCAGGGAAACTGACGCGAGGTGGGTAGGAGAGCACCAAGGGGTGGAATCCAATGTGAACAAACCAACCCAGGCTCGAGCCGCACATTGAGAAATGCACGGTTCGAGCCTGGGCCAGGAAAATTCACTCTCTCTCACACACCCGATGCTTTTCTCTTGTTATTCTCTCATATTAGTGGAAAGTTGTTACCTCAGATCTAGCATCCGGTGGCACACCACTCTGGGAGGACCTACGGGGTGAGGGAGGAAACTCTTTCATGAGAGTGGCTGAGGCAGGACAGGAACAGAGAAGAGCAAGAACGACAGAAGGAAGGGCAAATGGCTGGCAATAGCAGTTTTCCGACAAGAGGTACGGTAGCATGAGGCGGCTCAGTGCACCAGTGGCAGGGGAAGAGTAGCGTGCAACTACACCGTCGTACAAGGTCTGAGCACTCTTGTACTGGCTAAAGTGTGCACGCTCAGTGGTCGGTAAGTGGCGACGCACAGCAATGTCAAACATTATATATGTTGTGCTTGTTTAGGCTACAGTGGGTTAGCCTACAGGGGGTACACAATTCTAGGGTTAGATACTTCTACTGATTTCAATGTTAGTTCAATCATTCCTGTTCATTCATTTCAACATGGTATAGAGCAGGTCCTTCCTAGGACCGATTTTTTTTTAGGGCCCACCACTACCTACCTACCTACCTACCTACCTGCGCCCTAGGGCGCCTCGGTTTTCACGGCCCTCTAAGGCCCTACGACACGCGACCCGCCCCTTAGCGACTCGCGCGCCGCCCCTTAAGGCCCCGTCGGCCCACACGCTCGCCCTTAGCGGCCCCTTACGGCCCTGCGCTTGCCCCTTGAGGCACCAATCGGCCCCGCGCTCGCCCTTAGCGGCCCCTTACGGCCCCGCGCTCGCCCCTAGAGGCCCCGAACGGCCCCGCGCTCGCCCTTAGCGGCCCCTTACGGCCCCGCGCTCGCCCCTAGAGGCCCCGAACGGCCCCGCGCTCGCCCTTAGCGGCCCCGATCGGCCCCGCGCTCGCCCTTAGCGGCCCCTTACAGCCCCGCGCTCGCCCCTAGAGGCCCCGAACACCCCCCCCCCCCAGAACGAGCCGCCCGACCCGAGCAGCCCGAACCGAGCCACCCTGCCCGAACCGAGCCGCCCGAACCGAGCTGCCCAGCTTGAACCGAGCCGCCCGAACCGAGCCGCGCCGCCCGTCCCGAGCTGCGCCGCCCTACCTGAACCGAGCCGCGCCGCCCGTACTGGACCGAGCCGCCCTACCTGAGTCGCACTGCCAACTGTTTTTGGGGTGCCCCTACTGCTATTACTCCTACTACTGCTATGGCTAGCCCTCCTGTACTGGCTTTCGGTACTGAGGGCCGCCCAGTGAAGTTCAAAACCTGGCTAGATGACCTACACCTCTTCCTACAGCTCACTGCCAAGGAGGACATCTCACTGTAGGATCACGCCCT